AGCTCACAGCCAGGCTGCTGGTATACAATAGACACAGACATCAAAACCTCACTATTGTTAGGTTATTGCTTGATGGAGAAGATATTTTAAATTATTGCGTAAATGCCAGTGCACTAGGGACACCGTCTAGACTCTTTACAAAAGGCTTTAGTCATTTGCAACCAATGTTGAAGCAAATTACAAAGCAATATAGTTAGTGTGGAGAAGAGATATCTGTCCTGTTAATGACATTTTCCATGCATCTGCCTAACAATAACACAGCTGCTTGCTACATCAGGAATCATATGAGTGGGAAGAGAGAAAAGAAATTAAATAGCAGCGAGCATGCATTTTTAGGACACGGATTTGTATGCGTCCTTCCACAAATGTAACTTTGTATTGCCCGTCCTTTTGTGAGAAACCTGAGAAAGATCAAGCCAACAGTACCACTGTTTCCACAGTCATAATATGTCATCCATTAGGCAACAGATGCTGCACGCGGTGCGAAGGCACATATACTCTGTGTGGCTGCTTATTTTAGAGTAGCAAATTAACATGAGACGTCTACAAAATGCTTGCACAGCTCTTCAGACTTCCTGGAGCAGAGCCCAGCTGTGAACTAGTCTTTGATCATGGGTGGAGGATACATGCATAGCTGTGATCCTCAATACACCTCTCCTGGAAGACCTGGGTTAGACACCGGGAGGTCCCAGAACGAGCAAGATCTTGATCTCCTGGCTGGCAGGAGGAAGCCTCAGGAAAACAGGCATCGAGTTTCCTCTTCCCAGGTGGAAACTACTGAATTAGGGCTTCCATTCTTTGGATTAAAGAAAACCCTACATTCAACTGAATGTCCTTGGAAATTATAGTAAGTAAGCCTGAAACAAAATTGAAACCCGAGTTGTGTTATTGCTCTGCTGCTCCTATTTCATTACTGGTCATTAAAAAATAATATGCACCAAACTCCGTGGGCATTTTTTAACTGTAAAAGCAAAAGCAAAAACACTTGCTAATGCTAGCATTTGGAAATGGTTGGATCTGATGAGATTTCATCCTTTGGCAAATGAGAGATTGAGAGATTGATAGCATTGTCTCATGCCAGACACAGTGCAAGCTGACTTTAAGGAGGCTTCTCCAACACATCTCTCCCCCAGACTTAAATCCACCTGCCACTTCATTGGTGGGCTTCTCCCAATACTCCCAGTCATCCCCTATTGTGTTCAATGATCTTACACTGGACAGAAACAACTGACCATTTAGGGACCAGGGCAGAAGCAGCACACCAAAAACTCATTATACTTCATGGCATAACCCAGATATGACCTACAGTTCAGCCACCCCTTGTTATCAGATTCACACTGTGCCACACACCCCTTGAATTCTCATATTTATAGGCTTTAAATGAAATCAGTTGTAAACTATATACATAATTCTTGCATGTTTATAGGCTTTAAATGAAATCAGTTGTAAACTATATACATCATTTTTGTGCATGTATATGTGTGTGTGCACATGCATATGTGTGTGCATGCATTTGTGTGTGTGCGCGCACACATATATCATCTGCTGTATGGACCTCCAGTAATTTAGCATGGAGAAAAATATGAAGGCAATCGCTCACTATCAAGAAAACGTATTGGCAAGTCCGTATCAGTTCAAATGACTCACTACTGAATCAAAGTTAGGTTACTACAACAGAACAAAGGCCTCAAGATCTCACTATGGTTTAGTTACTGCTGGATGGTAAAGCTATTTTAGATCAGTTATGCATTTCTCAATTTATATTTATTGCTAGATATATTTAAATTTATCCATTTTGAGCTGCAGTCCACAGAAAAACCTTGTTGTCCCTCTGCTATGTATGCTGAAAAAATATCTGCTGGGGAAAATTACCTGTGACAGCTATTGAAGAAGCTATTTAAGACAAATAACTTAGAGAAGTTGCTAGGAGGAGCAGAAGGCCCTTAGGTGGGGATCAGGCAAGTGATGGGAAAGGTAAAGGGCCTGATTCTCCTTGCATGGTAATGAAAAATGGGAGGAACTCCCCTCCTGTCTGTGGGCTGGGTGAACATCTCAAATGATAGCCCACGCTGCGTCCACCTGGGAGTGAAAGGAGAAGTGACGTGGGCAGAAAGTGCTAATCCTGCTCCACAGTTATGGTGTCCAGGAGGTTAAACACGTGATACTCAACGCAACATCATCCCATCCACCTGCTGATTGCAGGCCCACAAGCCACTTCAAGTCGGCCTGGCAAGTCATAGGCTGCAAATTTGAAAAAAATCCCAGCACATTTTAGCATTAGCGGGACCCAGGCGGACCGCAAAATAAAACAAGCCTGTTCTGAGAGCCTAACAGACGTCAGCAGATGAATACAGAGCAGCGAGATACTGTCATCCCACGGCACACATCCTCCGATCAGATCAAGCGATTAAATCTGCGTCAGTTATACGGTACAAAAACATAGCGTCATGGACGCTCGTCCCCGGATCACCGTTTCCAGCTTTAAATACACCTTGCAGCTTCACCTTGATGTTTATGTCGTGGCAGGAGCCCACTAACCGACGAACGTCCTGTCCTATTTGGCAGTCTCTCTCATCACGCCCTAAGGTTGGTACCGTAACACGGGTGCCTGGGACCGAAATTAATTCCCGTCTATGAAAACTCTGGATTTTGTGGCTGATTCAAACTCTCTGGGGTACGGCAACTAAGGAGCTTGTGTGGGCAGCAGGAAAGGATGTGGAGTTGTTGGAGAGAGGGAGAGAGAGACCATCTGCGCATCTGCCTGTTGCCTGTGTGCAGAGCAAGGAAACGTCTCTGAAATGAGGCCAGCTTTGGCATCCTCTGGAAGGATCTTCAGCCCACGGTCAGCCGCAAAACCCAACCAAAACGCCAACCGGGCAATGAGTTGGCTCTCACTCCTTGTTTTCACTCTGCCTGTTCCCCCCACCTCTGTTTTTAATGGCTGCATTAAAAACAACGGATTTCCATTGAGCCAAGCTCTTTTTTGTTGTTTTGTACCGTTGTTTGCTTTGCCTCTTATAAAGCCCTCGGCAAAAGCCTTGAGATATTTTCCATTCCATCAGTCATGGGAAGCCTAGATTGATTTTCAACGAGTGACTGGCCTCCTACCTCCTTGGAATCAAAATTGAATGGTCTGAATAGAAAAGACCCAAACAAAACAGAAACCTCTCTTGATGCAGCCCATTAATTCTTCACAACATCGAAGCTGGAGGAAGGAAGGGGAAGAGAGAAGCAGGTTGGCCAAATGACATTATCGGCGGCACAGACAGCAAGATAAAAGAAATTAATAGGACTTGTCCAACATCTTCTTCCCTTGGTTAGTAACTGCGGGCCCGATTCTCTTCAGCTGGGGTCTCAATTCATCATTATACATCAATGCACAGGTCAACCATTTCCCCCCAAATGAAAAGCAAACCTAGACTGGAAGCATAAACCAGATATTGGATCCTCCCTTCCATCACTGGTGTGGAGGTCACGTACTTGCTTGCCACGTGTTAGAAAACGAGGGAGACTCGGATAAGGAGGGATTTTCCCCCACCCTTTTATTTAAAGGAATGTCAATTTTCACCCAAGCTCTACAGAGCTGGCTCTTGCCATTAACTAGCTAAACAGAAATTCGAAATCATCAAAACAACCAGCAAATGGATTTTAAATCAAAGCTCCCGCTGAGAAGTCCTAGAGTGCTTTTGTGCTTGTAATGCGCCTGCGAGTTTGCATTCAGGTATCCAGCCTGAAATAAAATTTATGGCCCCGCTGAGCCCTCTACGAAGGTGCTTTATAGGTTAATAAAGAAACTTACGGCTGCAGAGAATGAGTTTGATGGGTCTCGAGCCAGCTGCTAGTGCCCAAGCATCCTCATCACTAACAAGGCTGCGACAAGCGGCGCTAACCGGCATACTTGTTTGACATTCTCAGTAGAGAGGACCAGGATTGAATAAACCATGGAAAATAACCTCTCCCCTCCCCGCTTGGGAACCATGCCTCTCCATCGGAGGTGAAGCATCAGTGGTCAGGTGTCTGATCCGTCTCTACCAAAGACCGCACGGCAATGCTGGACAAACAGGACTCTGGGGTGTGCCAATCTGGACCATTTTCACATCCAATAACATTTGCAGGAAAAAAACCACAAAATGACTAAAGGAATAAATAAGCAAACCTTCCTTGCTGGAAGCAGAACAACCGCCTACAGAAATACAGAGACGCACAGCTTGCGGGAACGTTACCGTGCATGCCTTCTCTAATACCTGGGCTAAACCCCCTCTAGCACCTTGCTGGGGGACCAACCAAAGAGGAACCTGCCCCGATATGATCCAGACACACAGCCCAGCACATGCTAGGAGAGGACCTTGTGAGTGTAATCGGTGCGGTGCAGGTGCTGGCGTGGGCAGTAAAGCTCAGGGAGACATTATCTCTTTCCATCGTCTCCACTGGACATTGCCCTGGAGGCCTAGCCATGGATTCAAAGAGCAGCAGCAGACATAACAAGCATGGGGTGGGAAGCAGAGGGTGGAGATGACAGCCTTACCTTGTTTTCACCTTCTGGAGCTAGAGGGTCCGTCATCCATGAGCCGAACCTTGATCCCGAGGTTTTTATCGTGATTGGGTCACTTATTCCCGTCAGTTTTCCGCAAGCTGTAAAATAGTGCAATGTTGGTGAGCAAGGCATTGAAGGAGCAACTGGGGTCTCGCACGCGCTTGTATTTACTGCAGAAACCGTGTTGAGAAGGACCTAGGGGCTCTGAGGAGCGGCACCGGCAATGGCACTGAGACTCACTCATGTTGCTGTGGCATCACCTCTCTCCAGCTGATGGGCAGCTCCATTTTAATTGAATTAAAGGCAATTAGGCCAAAAACAACTGTCAGATGCCTCTGTGTGTTGTCATTCCTCTTAATAACAATTTTCCTTATCACGTTGCCCCCAAGAAAACAAGCTTTCCTGGAAACGGCCCTGCTGCAGAATAGCAAATGAGGAGTGGAGCTGGCCAGGGTCAAGCAGCCAGGTGGAGAAATTAGCTGAATAACTACTGCTCATTTTTGCTATAATAGAGCTGCCATAGCCGATGGGAGCAGAGAGGGAAGGCAGCTGCCTACTTCCAAATCAGGCCTTTTTCCAAGGGAGAGCAGGTAGAGATCTATGATCTGTATCTATATACATCATTCTCCCCCAGCAAAATATATACATCAGTACATGTCTTCTATCCTCTCTGGTGCTCACCATCGCCATATCTGAGGAGGCATAGCCCTGTGAGCTTGGGAATTAGCAGGTTTTTTATAGCTGGAGACTTGAAATACAGTGAGAAGACAGGCACGAGGTCCGGTGGGGGTTGCACTCCCATCGGCTCCCTTTGACTTCAGTAGTGGGGGCTCAGCACCCTAATCAGGACCTAAGTGACTTGCCCAAGGTCATACAAGGAGCCTGTGGGAAGCCAGGAACTGTCTCCATGCCTCTCAATTCCTTGCCTCGTGTTACAACAAGGTCATTTTCCTTGCTCGGACTTGCAAGCTTGCCAGCACAGGGATGTGGCCAATCTGAACATGCACCTGTTGGACCTACGGTCTGAGGGCCAGGTTTTAAAGGATGCCATAAGAGAGAGGTGTTTAACCACACACTTAGTCACCTTGGGGGGGATTTTCCAAAGAAAAAAAATCACTCAAACTCATTGAATCGGGTGGGAATTAGCATGTCACCATTTCTGAACATCTAGCGAGACATATACCTGCATCCTTAAATGCCTACATCACTCTCAAAAGCTCATCCCTAATGCCTGAGCACTCACCCGCTCGGCTTCCTGCTTCTGTTCCCTGTATCC